TATTTATTTTGGGGGGGGGGAGAGGCAGAGAGAGGGAGAGACAGAGAATCCCACATAGGCTCTGCACTGTCAGTACAGAGCCTAACTGGGGGCTCAGTCCCATGAACCCCAAGATCATGACCTGAGCCGAAGTCAGATACTTAATCAAATGAGCCGCCTACGCACCTCGAAATGCAGATTCTTAATCACTATGCTCTCAGTTAAAATAAAAATTGTACTTTTCACATTCTTTCATTAGTTTAAAAAATATTTGCTGCGGGATTACTAAACACGCGTAAGCGTCAAAACAACTTTTATGCATTTATCAACATCTGTTAATCAGTGGGAAGGGAAGTGCACAGGGGACGAGAGCAGCCTGTCAGCCCCAAGAGCTCAGCGTTTGGGACATTTGTTGGTACGTCTCAGAGAGGGAATGGGAAATGTCAATTAGTCTGTTAGGGCTGGTGAAGTGGGCATCTTCTGTGAAAGGAAGAGAAAGCAGAACCAAAGAAAGTCCCAGAAGTCAGCATGCAATCGCTATTAGGCCATGGAAGCCATAAGACAACCGAGACCAGAAGTAAGAAGGAAGTAGGAGTTAGCAAAAGCCAGGGTGGAGGATGAGGTCATTTGCTCATTGTGACAGGAGCAATGGAAGCAGTAGGGACCCTGCGTCGGGGAGCAGTGGGCTCCTGCTGCCGAGGGGCCTGTCACTTCGGTGAGGCCTGCGGGGCTACGGAGTCTATTCTTCCTGGGAGGCCGGGTCACCCAGGTGTTTCTGGGTTCCTGTGAAGCCACTGTCACTCGGCCCCAGGCAGCGGCAATTCTCATTCCCCTCGTTTCCATGTGTAAGCCCACAATTCACCCCCCCCCCCCCCCCCCCCCCCCCCCCCCGCCCCTTGCCTGAGATATTTGATTAGTCTCTGTTCCTTGCGACCCAGATAACCGAACTCCTCCTACCCACTGCAAGTGGCCCCTGAGGAATTATCCCTGCTGCAGTCGTGGGCACCTCCCTGGGCCCCGGGACACGCGCCCGCCACATCCGGTTCCCTCTAGGAACTACTAAATAAATGCGGCCACATCCTTGCTTCTGAGATGACCTTCTAATAGATGTCATGGATCTATCTCCCTGCTTCCAACAAGCTGAGTACAATAAAATCAATGTGGTATAAGCTTTCTTAATTACCGCGAAATCCCAGCCCTGTCTTCCGGAGGTTAACATCTGATCTCCTTGGTTAGAATTGGATTTGGAGTTTCCCTAAAACTCTTCAATCACAGCCAAGTCTGAGTTTGTGTCACTTCAATAGGTGGTTGGGCCTACTCATGACAACCCGTTTCTTTCCAGTTCTCCCCAGCATTTAAACGCGTTCACGTCTTTACCACAATTCAAGATTTTTAAAAAATACGTTTTGGGGCGCCTGGGTGGCGCAGTGGGTTAAGCGTCCGACTTCAGTCAGGTCACGATCTCGCGGTCCGTGAGTTCGAGCCCCGCGTCAGGCTCTGGGCTGACGGCTCAGAGCCTGGAGCCTGTGTCCGATTCTGTGTCTCCCTCTCTCTCTGTCCCTCCCCCGTTCATGCTCTGTCTCTCTCTGTCCCAAAAAAAATAAATAAACGTTGAAAAAAAAATACGTTTTATGTGACAAGCCAATACACATGTATATAAATACATTGAAAAATTTCACCCCACCCTAACACCTATTCATTTCCTTTTAAAATGTGGGTCTTGAGCTGGGCAGCTCAGTCGGGTAAGCATCCAAATTCAGCTCAGGTCATGATCTCATGGTTCATGAGTTCGAGTCCCACGTCAGGCTCTCTGCTGTCAGCACAGAGCCCACTTTGGATCCTCTGTTCCCATCTCTCTCTGCCCCTCCCCTGCTCACGCCTGCTTTCTCTCTCTCTTTTTCTCTCAAAAATAAATAAACATTTTTTTTTTTTAATGTTGGTCTTGACCCAGCAATTTTTATCACAATGTTTCACGATGCATGGTTTGAAAATTACGGGTCTCGTTTCTCCTTTCTTCAAAATTTCACTTCTCAGATGCAGGTCTTTCTTTGCTCTGGTTCTTTCTGGTCTTTCTTCCAATATCTGGAGAGAGTGGTCGGCTCTCCACTTTCTCATCTTGAATTCACTCATCAGTCGGCCATGTTTTGTCTCTGGCACCCCCCCCCCCCCTGCCCTGAAGCAGCCCTCCCTGAGGTCTCTAACAGCTTCCTTGTTGATAGAGCCCAGATTTTCGAACTGTTGTCTAACCCTGGGTTCCCAGAATCCTCTGGTGCTGCCAGCTGCTTCCTCCTAAAAGCCTTCTCTTGCCTTGGCTTCCCGAGGCCGCATTCTCCTAGTTGTCCTCCTCCATCTCTGCCGGTTCGTTGTCAAGATTCTCTTCCACTGCTACTCTAGAAGTCTCCTCGAGGCCCTTCTCTGTTGTCACTTTATATACTGTTCTTAGGTAGATTCATGCTTTCTCATGTGGGATACCAGGGAGGTCTCATGCCCTTCTCTTCGACTCAATCTCTCTTCTTTGTATCCAGTACAAAACATAGGCCACAGATGTGAAAGTAGCCAAACTTAAAATCGTGCTCACTTGAAAGCCTGAACATTGAAATCCAAAGCTTTGGTCTGCTTTTCTGCAGTGATACGTCTCCTCCGAGGTAGTAAGTTGCAAATGAGCCTCAGCGGCTACTCCGCATCAGATGATTAGCCCAAGCCCATCAGTAGCTTTCCCTGGCAACTGTTACTGCTCCAGGATTGGGCACGCCAGTGACCTCAGCCACACAATCTAAAGGAAAGGACTGTATCTCATACTGGGCAGGAGGCTTTTCTCTTTCCTCCACTGGATGTGAAGAGAGAAGCATCACCAGGTAGCTACTGGCAGCCATCTTGGGACCATGAGGAGACAGGACAAAGCTTCAAGGAGGAAGGCTGAGTAGAACCTTGGACAGAACTTGGGTCCTTGATAGTATCTTTGAACTGCTGAATCAACCAACCTCAGAGCCTGCCTACCTCTGGCTCCTTGTTACGCTAGCTATTTCTTTCTTTTTTCTTAAAAAAATGAGATATTATGTTACTTGTAGCAGAATGCATCCTGATAGAGTCAGTATTTCAAAACATCCCATCACACCTGAACTCCAGACCTGTGGATCCAACTGTCTGCCAACTCTTCCTCTTGGCTGTTCCATAGCCTCTCACACTCAGTCAGCCTAAAACTGACTGTCATCTGGGCCCCCACCTCCGCCTCTTCTAGGCCCCCACCTCCGCCTCTTCTAATCTTCCCTGTTTCTGTGAAAGACCCACCATCTGCCTGATTTAAGCCAAAACCTTCGGTCCTCTTTGCAATTTATTTCCCGTTCACCTACAGTGTCAATCTCTCCTTGGGTATTCCAGAATCCACCCCCTGAATATTCCTCAAACCCACCCCCTTCTCTGCTCACTGTCACCTCTGGTGCGTTTCACTGCAACAGGCTCTGACCTGGTTCTCCACCTCCTTCTAGTGGTTTCTGCACACTACAGCAAGAGGGATCTTCTAAAAATGCAGATCTGAATACTTCACCTCCTGCTGAAACCCACTTTCTGTCCCTTTTCCTCGGGACATATTCTGAATGCCTCAATATGGCACGTAAGGTCCTCTGAGACCCAGCTCTCATTTCATCTTTCCAACCTCAGCACTATTCCTCCTTCCAACCCTTCATTCCAGAATTATAGAACTAGTATAGTTCTGTACTCTCTTACCTCCTGGCTGACTTACCTACCTGGAAAGTCCTTCTCCTCTCCCTGCTTTAGCTGAACAACTCCTGCTTGCTCTTCAGTGCTCGGCATGATGGTGTCACTTTTGGGAAACCGTGGCTGGGAACCCCAAGGCTGGGTGAGATGCTCTTCTTCATGTTCCCACAATGTCATCTTCTTTCCCAGTCATAGTACTCTTCACAAGGTTGGAACTATCTGCTTGTTGGTTTCTCTCCCCCACCCCCAGACGACCAGCTCCTTGAGAGCAAGGACTCTGGCTTATTCCTTGGCATGTAGCACTATAATTGAGTGAAAAGGATTATTTTAAACTCAGAAGTGGATTTTGACTTGAAAGTGAGGGCAGGGTGGAATAGAGTCGGAGGGCAATGTAGAAACAGACGTTTTCAAGTGGAGGGCGCGGCTAATGTGTTGAGTAGGTTTAGGTGGGTGGCAGGGCCAGGCCAGTGGCAAGAGACCACTGAGGGAGATGATGTAACTCAGGCAAACGATAACAGTGGCCTGGACTAGGGGATGGGGAGAATGAAATAGACTTGAAAGAGTTAAGAAGTGGCATGAACAGAATTGGGGAGTAGGTGAGGAAAACAAAGGGGCAGAAGATGAGGTGAGTTCTAATATGGCAACAGAGGTTCTTGGTGGTGCCTTCTTCTAGAGTGGGGAACCCAGAAGGAAGAACATGATTGCAGATGGTGGAGAGGGAAATGAGGAGCTCTGTTTTGGACATGTTGAGTTTGAGGGGTCTAGGGCACACCCAGAAAGCACTTGGACATTCAGGGCTGTAGATGGCAGACAGAAGCCGAGAAGGAGCGGACATAGAACTAGAAGTACAGATAGGACCATAGATTCCAACATACGGGATTCAGAAAAGAAATGACCAGAGACAAGGGGAAAATACTGGTACGCCCCCTCCCCACAGGCACCCTCACTTCCACAGACACAAATGCACTGGCGAGGTTTCTCTTGACAGCAGTTTTATTTGATTCAAAAGCGAAACTCAGACCCTGGCCCAGTCCACTGGTCATGGGATAATGGTAGGAGTAGACTCGATCGGGGGATTGCTGGCCTCTGACTAGGACGCCATAAGGGGCACATATAGGTCATATATATGTATGTCAGGGCAGGGAGAGGGCTGGCTGGGTAGCACTTGGCCACAGGCCAGGGAAGGGGTGACTTGTGCCATCCCCTAGACACATGCAGAGTGAGAGAGGACTAATTCAGTACTGGTGTTAGGGTCTGGGACTTAGAGTAGGCCTAGGGCAGGGTCAGGAAACTCTGGACCAATGGGTTCAGTAGCTGTGAGTCGAAGACTTGTCCAGCTCACTGCGCTGTTCCTTCTGGGACTCAGTCACCACCTGCTGGGGGCAAGGCATGTGAAGGGCACAAACCATTAAGCACCACACTCTTTCAATCTCCTTTGGGGTATGGTGTCTCCTTCTCCAGCAAAACCAGCTGAGGCTCCAGGCTGTCCATCCACCTTCTCTATCTCCTTGTCTCTCTGCCACCCCAAGGACCACTAACCTACAGTACTCTAAGATGCAGCCAGGCTGGCGCTCAGAAATAATATGTGCCATGATGGGATCCTGGGCTCAAGTGGCCCATCTCACCTCCCCATCCTGAGTCTCAATGGTCTTGATCAGAACCATCTTCCTGCTGTGGATGTCCTGGGGAGGCTCCACCTCAGGCACTGGAAAAAGTAGGATGAGGAGTGGAAGAGAGGAGGCTTGGGGTTTCTCTCCTCTTAAGCCCTCACTCCCATCTGTGGGGGGAGGGGAGTGGCAGGACATGCGGAGTGGGGTAGCATGTAGACCAGGACTCAGTAGTTCGTGGACAGAATCGATCCCTGAGCAGGGCCGTAGCAAGAGTCTGGTCAGGGCAGAAGTGGACAAGGGGACAGGTAGATTGGAAGCCAGGCATGGGAGGAGACTCACCAGTCGTTTTTATACTTAAGGATGCAAAAGAATGGACTGGCACGGAAATCCTGGGAGCGAAGCCAAGTGGTCAGTTACTCTGCCCAAGCCCCTCCCCTTCCCTGAACACACCCAATCCCGACCGTCCCCTACACTCCCACCCTCCAGCAGTTTTGCCCCCCACCTGCTCTCTTCGCCCTCCAGCAGCTTCCGGTAGGTGGCGATCTCGATATCCAGGGCCATCTTGACATTAAGGAGCTCCTGGTACTCGCGCAGGTGCCGTGCCATCTCCTCCTTCAGCTGTCGCAACTCCTCCTCGAGCCTCGCGGCGCCCGCCTGGTACCCGCCCGCCTCCAGAGCAAACTGCTCCTCCAGCTCCCGCAGCTGTCTGAGCAGCGCCTCGTTCTGGGGGGACCAGAGGGTCACCATTGGGGTAACAGCCTTCATCCTCCACCCACCCCACCCCCGCCCCCTGGGCCTGGGCGCGAAGCCTGGTACTCACCGTACCGCGGAGTCCGTCCACTTCGCACGTCAGGCTCTGTATCTGGCGTCGGGACTCATTCATCTCCTGCTTGGCTTGACGCAGGGCCTCGTGATTCCGGTTGGCGGCGTCGGACAGGTCCGCGTACTACCGCGCGCGAGGCAGTGCCGCTGTGAGCTGACGGGACGCGCCCTCCCCTTAGCGCCCAGCCTCCCCGACTCTCCCTAACCCTCCCGGGCTTTCGCACTTTGGACTTGTACCACTCCTCTGCCTCTTGCAGGTTCTTCGCCGCGATGCTTTCGTACTGCGCGCGGATGTCCCTCAGCGCCGCCGTCAGCTCAGGCTTCACGGTGGCCTCCACCTCGACCTGCTGCACCTGCTGGCTCTCCACGCTTACCTGCAGGTCTCGAAGCTCCTGCCGCCGAGGACAACAAGTTGTCGAGGTTGCCGCGCGGATCCCACGCGGGCCGCGCAGTTCACGCACAGAAAGAGAAGAAACACTCGAATGAACAGAAGGGGGCGCCAGGGAGTGCAGCGCGCATATGACGGTGCGGTCTGCGCCCTGGCCGGCTCCAAGCCAGCGGCCAAGTTTTAAGGGGTGCAGCTCCGCTGCTCGCCACCAGGTGGCGCAGGGGTGGGAGTCAAACCACCTGTAGAGAGGGGGTTGAGGGGCTGCGTCTGCCCAGCGAATCTCACTACTCTTCCCCAGGCAATTCCTCCTCCCCATTCGCCCGTCTTCTGAACCAGCGCCTGCCTTCCAGCTCCAACGAGACCGCCTGCTACCTTCGAAGCCTCCCCTGACACTCGGATCCACCTACCTCCTCGTGCAGCTTCTTGAGGAACTCAATCTCATCCATTAGAGACTCAATCTTGCGCTCTAGTTCCAGGCGGGACAGGGTGGCGTCGTCCACATCCTTAGTGGGGGTGGAAATGAGGGTTCAAGAGCCGGGAGGGGCTGCTCAGGCTGAGAAAGGGCCAGGACCTCCCTGCCTGTCTCTAGAGGTTTCTGGTCGCCTCCTCGCGCCCACAGATGCCACCCTAGTACAAAGGCGAGGGCAGAGGTGGGGAGTCGGAGTTGACATGGGGCCCGGGCTCACCTTGCGGAAGAGCACGAGGTTGTGCTCCGCATCCTCTCGCTTGCGCGTCTCCTCCTCTAACCTGGCAAGAAAAGGGGGCAGAAGCTGAATTGTAGGGTCACCGCGCACCCCAGGGTCTGGGCTAGAGGCTGCTTACTGTCCAGGACTCTGAAGAGGGGTCTTCATGCTGACCGATTGACTTGCCCACTATCTAACGGGCTGAGATGGTCAGACATGGTAACTCCCCCCTCCCCAGAGAGTCAACAAAGTGGTAGAGGGAAAGCAGGGGTCTTAGAGCCCACAGGCGAGCATGCTGCCTGCACACGCTGGGGTGGATGAGGGGAGCCACGCCCTTCGGCGGCTGGTGGGGAAGCGAGCCGAGCGAGGAGCAGCCGCCTCGACGGCCGCCGCCCAGCCCCGGTCCTGCCCCCTGACCTCTGCTTCAGCGCCGCCAGGTCCTCCGCCAGCCCGTCGCGCTCCACCTGCACCCGGTCGCGCTCGCGGCCCAGCAGCTCTAGCTCCCTCCGCAGCTCGCGCAGCTCCTGCTGGCACAGCTGGTCGGCGCGCGCCGGCTCCTGGCCCCGGGCCTGGCTCAGCTCCCCGCGCAAGGCCGCGTTCTGCTGCTCCAGGAAGCGCACCTTCTCAATGAAGTTGGCGAAGCGGTCGTTGAGCTCCTGCAGCTCCTGCTTCTCGTTGCTGCGCGTGGCCAGGAACTCTTGGTTGAGGGCCTCGGCCATGGAGAAGTCGAGGCGCTCCGAGGGCAGGCGCAGGAGGGCGCCCGCGCCCGCCCGGGGGCCGCGGAAGCTGCCCAGGCGCACGGAGGAGCCAGGGGATGCCGAGCCCAGCAAGCGACTGCTCGAGAAGCGGGAGCTGGACGCGTAGGAGTAGGACCCAGGGGACAGTGAGGGCGGTGGCCCGAAGGTGCGGCGGTATGAGGTGGAACTGACGCTGGCTCGGAGGCCCGACGGGTGGCTCATGGTGGCCGAGGATGGGCAGTCACCGCTGGCAACGCTGGTCCGGGAGCGGGGAAGGAGCCGCAGACCGCTGCGAGGCGGCTTTATAGCCCTGCGGGCACAGGGGGGGCACGGGCAGCTCCTCCCACTGGCCTGACGGCGGGGCTATGTGGGGAGGGGGATGCCCCACCCCTGCGGAGCTGCAGGAGCGCCGCACCCTCGCTCCTAGGTTTGCTGGCGCCCTGCCTAGTTGATTCCCCCTGTTGCAAGCGGGGAAGGAAGCAGGCCTGGCGACCACTGGCAGGCCTGGGCTGGGGGTCAGCACGCTCCAGCAAGCATCCGGAGCTGGAGCCTTGGGTGGAAGGGCCTGACTGGAGCTGGGGTTCCTGCCTGAGAGAGCTATTGAAAATCGGAGATCTACAAATGTAGAATCATTACATTGTCCACCTGAAATTAACGTTATGTCAGTTAAACCTCAGTTAAAAAAAAAAAAATGGGGGGATAGGAGGACTGGAAGTTAAAGGGCAGGCTTCTGGCATATGAGTGGGGAGGAGATGGCCCAGGTAGATGGTGAGTTGGTCTGGCTTGGGCCCCAGGGCCTGTGCCTCCACTTGTCCCCTGAAGGCTAGGCTCTGCTTTTACCTGCTGTCAGCTACCCCTCTGCTACCACGCCCAGGGAGAAATGGGGGACGGGAGGGCAGGGGGAGCTGAGGGGGGTGGGAAGGGCTCATCCCTCCGTAGTCCCCAGGGCCCTGTGGAGGGCTGCTGCCTGGCGCCAGCTCTGCCGCTAATGGACTGGCCACTTCCCCTCCCCCTCCTCTGGACACTTGGCCAGGGGGTTGCCTGCTGATGGCTCAGCCTTAAAGACACAGCTCCCAAACTTGGACCTACACCAGGCCCCAACAGGGTGGGCACAGCAGAGGGGGTTGAGGGTGGCTGGGCCCAACTCTGGGTCCCACTTAGTCTGTGTCCTGCCAGAGGCTGAGCTGAGGGAGCTAGTTGTATGCTGTCTGGCTTTACTGGATTCTCCCTTCCCCCAACCAACTGCTGCTCAGTCATGGGCCTTACGGGAACCAAAGCAATTCCTGAGGTAGGAAGGGGAGGGGGCTGAGGGGCCGCAGCTGCTGCCAAGGCTGAGAGATGAATGGACTGGCAGGAACCGGTTACCAGTATCGAGGAGTTGCAGGTACCCAGGGATGGGTGGGGCTGGATGGGGAAGAGATGCGGAAAGAGAAAGTACTCATCCCTAGTGGTCCAGGGACTGAAAGAGGAGAGAGAACGTCCCAAAGCAGATCTACAAGCCTGTGCACACACACAGATGCATATGCACGCTAGCCACATTACCTATGTGCACACACATTACACACACACAACCACACATCCCTTCCTGCCCTCCCCCACCCCCGTTATCGTGAAGGCTGATGTCTGGCCTTTGCATGTCTGCGGCTTCCAGAACTCAGGCACAGGCCGCCCCGGAGTGGATAGAGGCAGCTCAGATGGTCTGCAGGAGCCAGGGTGCTGAGGCCTGCTGGGTTTGCCAAGAGCCATGGGGCTGCTGCTGCCGGGGACTCCAGGGCTTTCCAGCACGGACAGGTCCACCTCGACTGGCCCTGAGGATAAGAGCTGGGCATCTGGGGAAGCAGGTTTGGGACTCCAGGCTGACTCTCTGGCAGGGGGGGATGAGGAGGGCGGCTCCTTGGCCAGCCAGCTCCTCGGCATTGCAGGGCAGAGGAGCCGCCCCTCCTTTGTGTGTCCTCTGAGATGGGCCAACGCCCGCCTGCTCACAACCCTACCGCCTTCCTTCGTCTCCTCTCCAGGCCCCTCCTTCCTTCCGGGCCATTAGTCTCTCCCTGCACAGCTGCCAGGTCCTTCTCCTTGATGGGTCTGGTTTGGTTGCCAGGGGAATGGGAAGAGGGAGGATGGGAGAGAGGGGACAGGATGGATAGACCTGGGCCTGTCCCCTCTGACTTCTAGGAGTGGGGTGGGGTGGGGTCCAGCCTGGGCTGGGGGTGGGGGCTTGGCAGCTATGTGTGGGGTGGGGGAGGGGGTGATGGAGAAGTTTTGGTGTTTTCTGCTGCAACCCTAGGCTCTGAGCCCCAGCTGCCATTGGCCTGGAGTCCCACCAACTCCAGCCTAGGCCCTGCCCTGCCTCTGCCTGCTGTACCTAGGGAGCAAACTGGGAGTCTAAGCTGGTCCTTTATAGGGAGCTGCTGGTAGGTCTGGGCCTTTGAGAGTAGAGCAGAGGCCCCTTGGGCTGGGCCCAGGGAGTTCCAAGGGGAGTTCCCACCCTTTTGCTGCTTATGCTCCCAGCTCACCACTCAGATGCCTCAGAGGAAAAGGGACCAGGACCTCCTCAGCAGGGCTCTGGGAGCTGTGGAGGGAGTAAGGAAGGCCAGGGCCTGGGTGGGGGAACTAGGCCTGCAGGCAAGTCAGAGGAGATCCCTCCCCCTTTTTTACCCCTTACTCCTCCCCCCTTACGCCAGGGGGTGCCTGTGTGGCTTAGTTGATTAAGCATCTGACTTTTAATTTTGGCTCAGGTCATGATCTCATGGTCATGAGATGGAGCCTTACAATGAGCTCCACATTGGGCTCTGCAATTCTCTCTCCCCCTCTCCCTCTGCCCACCCCTGCAACCCCCCACCATACTTGAAAGAAAGAAAGAAAGAAAGAAAAAAAGAAAGAAAGAAAGAAAGAAAGAAAGAAAGAAAGAAAGAAAGAAAGAAAGGAAGAACGAGCCAGGGGCGCCTGGGTGGCGCAGTCGGTTAAGCGTCCGACTTCAGCCAGGTCACGATCTCGCGGTCCGTGAGTTCAAGCCCCGCGTCGGGCTCTGGGCTGATGGCTCAGAGCCTGGAGCCTGTTTCTGATTCTGTGTCTCCCTCTCTCTCTGCCCCTCCCCCGTTCATGCTCTGTCTCTCTCTGTCCCAAAAATAAATAAACGTTGAAAAAAAAAATTAAAAAAAAAAAAAAAAAAAAAAGAAAGAACGAGCCAGCCCTGGGAGATCTTGAGGCAAGAAGAAAGGTAGGAAAGGGTCACCATTAAGAGCCAGGGTTCTGGGGGTGCCTGGGTGATTCATCAGTTAAGTGATCGACTCTTGGTCATGATCTCGTGGTTTCATGGGCTCGAGCTTCAAGTCGGGCTCTGCGCTGGCAGCACGGAACCTGCTTGGTATTCTCTCTCTCTTCTCCTTTCTCTCTGCCCCTCCCCCACTCTCACTGTCTCTGTCTTTCTAAAATAAATACACTTTACAAAAATTTGAAAAAAGAGCCAGGGCTCTGGCATCCAGCTGCCCAGCTTCCCATCTGACTCCAACATTCTGTGTTGTATGAATTTAGGCCTGTTACAGTGTCCTCCCATGTCCCCTAGTAAAACGCAGACAATTGTAACTTCTACTGCATACTGCTGTTGGGAGGATTAAACACTTAGGATAATAGAATAATGGATGAAATGTAAGTTAGTTTTATTATTATCACGGATGTCTCAAATGATCTTGTCAGCTGCCGAATGCAGTGAGGTTCTGGATTTCTTTTGGATTGTCCCTACTAGTGGCTGAGAGCAGTTCTGGTCCCAGAGTGGAAGGAGCCAAGTACCTCCTTGCTGATCTCTTCTCAATGTCAGGGACTCTGGACAGACCTGGGTTTGATCATGGCCTCCTCAAATTAATTAGCTGTGTGCTTTTGAGTTTGGGTGAGTGATTTCACCTCTATCCACTCCATTTTCTTTATCCATAAATGGGGACAATAAGAATCGTACCTACCGCATAGAGTTGGAGGATAAACTGAGTTAAATATGTGAAGCACTTAGCACTTGGCACAGAATATGTGCTGTGTACATAGTAGTCAGTGGTATTATTACCCCTCCCCCTTCCGCTGCTCCAGTGAAGGCTTGGAGAGAAATGACAATCAGATGCATTCAGAGGTTTGCAAGGAAGGTGAGCAATGAAGTTGAGGTTACTGGCAAGAGTGCTACTGAATGACAGGCCACGGACTCAAAATGGTTGAGGAAGGGCGTGTGGGCAAGAGGGTGGGAGATTGGGAGAGTAAAGAGGTCCGGAGCTGGCCTCCCAGGCAGGGCCAGAAAACAGTCACAGTACAATGGAATTGAAAGAGGCACCGAGAGGGTGGGGAGTGGATGTCAGAGAGCAAGATGCATGAATTTGTGATTCTGGAGCTGGGGTATTTATGGATGATAAGACTTCCAGGGCATTTCTAAGGGAGTGGACAACTGAGGCTAAAGCCAAATGACGGAAAAGGTCATGGGAAAAGAGATCAGGCCACCAGCCTGGGCACTTACTAGCTGCACGACGCTGGGCAACTTACTTGTCCTCTCTGAGCTTTAGTTTCTTCATCTGTAAAACAGGAAAAATGACACCTTCCTTCCTGGGCATTGTGGCGTCTAGGTGAGATATTGTACATGAAGTAATTAGCACGTCATGAGGCTCATAGTAGGTGCTCAACACTGTTGATGGCCTTCTTCCCCTCCTATGTGACAGAGAGGAAGCTGAGACACGGGGGAGCAATGTCACAACCCTGCTCACTTGTAACTAAGTGTCAGCTGGGGTCCCCCTGCCCTCCAGAGGTGTAGGACCGGCTCGACCTCCATTCCACATCCTGGGGAAAGTCCAATGTCATCCTCAAGATCTCTTTGCCTTCTTAGTGCTTCCTCTTTACACCCCTAGCTCCAAGTCCCTGCTGCCCCTGAATTGGCTGACTTTACAGCTGACTCTCCGGTGGTGTCCAGATGTGGAACTCAGTACCATCCCTTGGTTTCTGTGGTCCCCTTTCCCCACCACTTAGTAGCACTTGAAGCTCAGAGGGACAAAGTTGCCAGTCTGAGGTTGCACAGCAGGCTAATCGTGGCTCCCTCTGTTGGTTAGGCCCTGCTGATGTTCTGGGCTCTGGGCCTGTAGGAGCCAAGATGAACCTAGCCAGAAGGAGTCCAGCTCCACACCTCTCAAGCTGGGTTGTCTCCCAGGCTGGTCTGGCCACAGGGTCCCCGCTGACAGAGTGGCTGCACCAGAGTGGAATCCCTTCCC